TTATTTCGAAATGGAAATCTTTGTAACATTATAAATGTCTTTGCTGCCACTTTGGATCAATTTAATGCTTCTTTGCTTAATAAAAGCAGTAATTTCTTTTAAATAACTGACCGATTCCAAACTTTTAAACAGCAGTGTACACTGTATAGTTTTCATCTATTTCAATTATTGCATTCATTTGGTAATTTAGTTGAAGATGCATATGAGGCCATGTAGATTTGATGAACACCATCCAAAAAATAAGGGATTAATGAAAACAACAATCTTTTTATTCAAACACACCCAAGGACATTACATGTCCAAGACACTTTTCTCATCAGTGAGAGGCAGGAAATGTCAGGAAAGCTCAGTTTCCTCATAGGAGTTTGCAGAGGAGTCTGACTGAAAACATACCGGTGTTGATGTTTTTTTTGTTGGCCCCCCATCCTTTCTGGCTGCACATCCCATATATCCTGAGCACCTCAAACTCCTCAGACTAACACGTGACACCTATTTTGGTGTTATTGTTGTATGATTAATATAAGTTTTACTCAAAACAAAGCTCAGATGCCAAACTTCCCAAATCATTAGGGTCCCTTGGCACAAGAATATCCCAGTTCAGTCATAAAAGGGAATGAGGGACTCCCCAAAAGAAAAACATCACAAGCATTTTTGTTCTGTAACGGCAAGGAGTAAAAGCTGCCTTATATTTTAAAATTCATGTTAAATCACATCCTGATGAGTGCAGCTTTCATCCACCAAACAAATCTTTTTAGCTGATGGCAGAGAACACGTTGGCCCTGAATGTGTGCCGAGAAAGGTCACGACTGCGAGGGAGTCACCGTGGAGAATTATAAACTAAGATTCCCACCCATGGATGACCTGAATCATGAGGTTTAGCATTAACCCTTATGTAAAAGCTAACAGCAGGACTTCAGCCAGTCATTGAATTGTTAGTTGCTTTGGTGATATATGTGACATTTTGGCTTGAGGTAATAAGAAGCATGTGTCGATGTCATGTTCTCATGACTGCTCGTGTTTCAGTGTCCTTGTGGGTAAAGCTGTGTTTGCAGTTCATTAAACTTGACTTCCTGTGTAATGAGAAGAAAAAAGAATGAAGTCAGTCATACTTCCTTTAACCTGCAGTGAACACCGGAGTCTAATCAACTTTATTGTACGGATTTCTTGCATGTAGGAATTGGCAGAATTCTATAATACATTTTTTTTGGTTACTTAATATCGATTTATTTTGGGAGGATTTTCTCCTCCAATCTTTAACAAAAACTCTGCTCTAAAACCAAGCTGCTGCTTATATAGGCAGCATTTTAAGAAATTGTGTGCACAATTCTCAATGTGACCTTTTCCCAAAACGTAAGCAGCATAATACCTTCTTTTGACCTAGTTCTAATGTAGCTTTGCTTGTATCCTTCTTGTAGAAGTCAATCCCATTATGCATAGCGACATGGTCAATACAAAAATCAAAGATGTTTCATACTTCCTATACATAGTAGGTGAAAAAAATAGTATAAAACAGTTGGCGAAGAGAACCCGGTGAGATTCTAAAGCGTACATCCAATGGACATTTTACTATCCCATGAGGCAATGGGGGAGGAGTTAGGAATGGCAATGCAACGACTCAACTGATGCTGTAGGTCACATGACAAAGCCAACATGGCGGATTCATACCATATACTGTAGAATGCACTTTTTAATGGTCAGGAAATTCGGTGTGTCTGATTTCGGTCACAGTAGAGTCTGTTTAAATTGTTCTAAATAAGGTTCCATTTCAGTTAGGACTCTATCTTAGAAGATAGATGTCTACATAGGCAGTAGACAACAAGGCTGCTCACTAGGTTTTGCCACAGAACCAATGAGAATTCTTCCAGCAGAGTCCACTTGAATTCTAAATGCTATGCTGAGTTAATGTTAGATTCGCTGTGTTCTTGAGGACTGTCTACTTCTGCTCAGCATTTGTTAATGTCATTCCCACACTCACTGTGGGCTGCCCCAGTGATTTTGGCTGTGCCTCTTGATGAATTATTCTGAGGGGTTGACTTCTCTATTGTGCCTCAAGGGGTTTGGCAGACGTTGTAGGTTTCTGAAATATCTGCATGCCTCATTGTGTCCTTTCACTGTTTAAGAAGAGAACTCTACAGTTTTCTTTGAGCCAAATCCCCTGGTTCAGCTTTTTATCCAGTTCACATGAAACCCCCAAAGAGTGATTATGCATCCTAGACTCATCTTACTATAAATTCAGCTCTGAGGATAATAAGAAAAACACAACACAACACAAGGCTTCATTGTATCTTTTGGCTTATACTGTTACTCTGAGGTGTCTGCACTGTCAAGGAGTGAAACTTTATTCATTAAGATTTTAGACTTTTTGAGTTTATTTTATTTATTTACTTTTCTCAACTTTTAACCAAAGTACTTCACAATACTAAAATTAGCTTTGTACTGTAAAAAATGTTTAAATCATTATTTTTCAGTGGATTGCTTTAAATTAAAAGCCAGACAAATAAATGACCAGTATTGGGTTTTATTTGTGTCTTTTTTGCTTTTTTGTTTTGTTTTTATTAATAGTTAATTGTCTTTTAAATTTTGTCAGTATTTAGTTATAAGCCGTGTTTCCACCAAAATTACCCGTAACAATTCGTCCTAGGAGCTTCTTCGTTTACATACCGTGAAGATTAGGCAAATTAGTCTGGTGACGTAGGACTGTGCACGACTTTCCAGTTCCCGCTGGATTTCGTCCTCCACATATAAGCTTAATAAAGCCTGAACCTCGTCATCTGTCGTATTTTTTAAACTCCATTGTTGATTTGAATAGCAAACAACTCTTACTGCACTTATGGCAACAGACTGTTCAAAATGGTGGTTGAAATAAAATACTGTGTGTAGTCAACCAATCAAAATGCTGCATGAACTCAACCAATCAGCGTGTTCAGCACCCAAGTCCAACCCCCGAAAGTTCCTGAACTTTGAAAAATTACTACCTTGTGAGCAGGGACTTTCTGAGGGGGAAATTTTTGTCCGGATTCGGAACTTCATTTAGACCCTGGTTCCTGCGGTCGAAACACTCCGAGTACCACCCCAAAGTCCTGGGGAAAGTTCCTGCGGTGGAAACGCGGGTAAATTGTAGTCCATTTGTTTCAGACTGAAGAACATTTTTTTTGACAATGTGCACTTAATGTTTTGTTATAGTTGTGTCTCCTGCAATTATAAAAACATATAGTAATTTTAAAAGTTGCTGTGTTCTGATTTCTTCATGCTATAGTAATAGTGACAGGGATTTGGAGACTATTTGGAATATAGCATCATGTGAATCTGCGATGGTATATTCACATACCTTATATACTGAAGAAATGGCGTAGACAGAGTTTACACTCACATTCAGAAATTTAGCATGTTGAAGTAAACATGACATTTTGAAAGTATAAGACAGAAATAGTATTTTCTTGTGAAACGTAATCCAGTAAATGTTTTATTTTTAACTTCAAAATCATATTTTACAGTATACTGAGTATATTGAGAGGGGCACAATGTCCACTGATGCATGTGTTCATATTTGTACATTTCTTCAGGAGAAATATTTGTAGTTTGACAGTGCTTATAGAGTGTCAGTTAGCATGTGGAGGGTCTCTGTCACCAGCTCTCGTAGGCTTGTCTGAACAAGTGCACAATATAACTCTGTAACTGAAGCACAGAACATGTGGTCGCCTCTGTCAAAGCTAATTGTAAGTTTAAACCAGAGAACAAGATTTGTATTGGGGGTTGGTTTAAGCCAATATGCTGGAATATGCCGCTTGTTCCAGCTCAAAGCTGGAATGTGGAATTGGCTTCTGTGTGAACTTCATCGACATAGTTATGAAATGATTTATGACGTCTCCTAAACAGGGAATATCAAGAAGAATAAAACGTTTAATGAAACAGTTGTTCTAACTAGGTAGCATAGTTTGGTCTTTATAGCATTTGTTAACTTTATTTAATAGAGTGATTGCATATTGATATTCCTCAGGCATTCTGATTATTAATATCAATAATCTTTTTATCTCTCGTAACATACAGACTCCATTCAATTTTTTATAATTGATCGCATTTATAATTTTCCTATACACTAATGTTCACAAGTTTGAGGTCGGTAATTTTTAACATGTTTTGAAAGAAGTCTCTTATGCTCATCAAGGCAAAAATACAGTACAAACAGTAATATTGTGAAATATTATTTCATTTTAAAATAACAGTTTTCTGTTTATATTTTAAAATCCGGTGATGGCAAAGCTGAAAGTCTTCAGTGTCACACAACCTTTCCTAATCATTCTAATATGCTGATTTGATGCTCAAGAAGCATTTCTGAATACAGCTTTGCTGCTTAATATTTTATGGAAACTGTGATAATTTTTTTCAGGATTGTTTGATTAATAGAAATTTTCATTTATTTAAAACAAATTTTGTTGTTGGAAAAGTTATTTTACTGTCTTTTTTGATCAATTTAATGCATGTGAACTAATTATTACCAAATTTCAACGGTACTGTTATGTTGCTTGGGATAACTCGCTGTAAAGTGTCCCTGATGCAACCTTTCATAAACTACCTAAATATCTATTTTTTTCATGCTTTGCAAGCACTAGTATTTCCTTCAGAAAATGACATTTTTTTTAAATTATAATAAAAAACAGCTTCAGCAAATGACAAAAAAACTATTTAAAGCATAAATGTCTGTATCTAAGAGGTGTTTTAAGCAGCTTGTTTCTGTGTAACAGGGGGTCTGTGGAATTTTTGTGCCCCTACAAAGGCTGTAAAAGTTGAAACAACTCTAAATTCCATCAGCGAGGGCATTTAGAAGCACCGGCGTATACAAAAGCACGCCTTGCAGGCATTTTTGGTAAGAATATCTATCATCAGAGACACTCTTTCACAAGGACAAAGGGGAGATGGGAGCTACGGGGGAGGAAAAGGTCCCAAGCTCGGCCAATGACGAAGCAGCCCCCTGCTCTCTTTTAAATATGTTACTCCTCCTCTAAACTTTTCCTGCCTGGCTTGTGGGCTGATTGTGGTGACTTTACGGTGAGCCAGGGACGAGTCTCTGTGTGTTTGGTGTGGATTACTGTAGAGGGCATGTCAGGATCCTGTTTGAATTGCTGAATTGACTGGAAGGGAAAATGATGCCTGAGCTGAGGTTTTGGCTGTGCCTCTTTATTTTGGTGTGTTTGAGCATACGCCACACACATGGCTGGCTCTGGAATTATAACTCGAATACGAAGGGCACACAGACACCGGCCTACCTGACAACCATAAGGCCCACATCCCGACCGAGGACAGAACAGACCAGGACAGCAGGTACAAGTGCTTCCGTAATTGAGGTGGAAACAGAGGTCAGTTACAATGGAGGTCATTTTGAGGGGGAATCAGAGTTCATATCCAGGTCCGGGTTGGGGGTTGAGTTTGAATCTGTAAATGGGTCTGAATTTGCTTCTGGATCTGGATCTGGATCTGGATCTTCTCAGTTTGAAAGACAGGATGCCTATGTTACGTCAACCAACGTTTCAGGTATTTCTAGTGAAAATGCTAGTTTGCATGTGGGAAACCTCAAGCTGGAGACCAAAGTGGACCAGATGGATGGACTTCAGAGCGTTAGTGACCCAGCATACAGTCAGTTTAATGAAAGTATTCTTGTTCAAAATGTTAGCACATATAATCATTTAAATGGGCGTAATTCTACTGAGCATGATGATTATGATAACTCGACATTGTATTCCTCCGAATACTCTGTCTCAGATAATCTACTAACCATTGAAAGTGAGTATTTTGTAGCTAGCATGCCAGTTGTCGAATCCTCTCGCTGCTTGCCAGTCGGTCCTGATTTGCCATTTTGCACCAGAACGAGAGTGGATAGTTTCATGGTGCCCAATTTTCTAAATCAAAGCAGCGTGGAGGAAGTTCAGGTGGTTTTAACCCAATGGGCATGGCTTTTGCGGTCAAACTGCCATCATAGTTTGGAATGGTTTTTCTGCCTGCTGTTGACACCGCGGTGCGGCCCGCCTGGACTGCCACCCCCACTGCCCTGTCGCAGTTTCTGCGAGGTCCTGCGTGACAGTTGCTGGACGCTCCTGGATGAGGGCCGCCTCCCCGTGGAGTGCCACTCTTTGCCTGAAGAGAAGCATGATGGGTATCGGTGCTTGTCAGTTAGTAACCAGAAAGGTAATGGACGGTTAGAATGCCATCTCTCTCAAAAAAAAAAGAAAGATGCATTTTCAACCAGTGCCACCTGTCTGTCTGTTTGTCATCCACCAGCTTTGGTGAGGGTTTGTCTGTAAGTGTTGTGTGGTCCTCACCAGTTGTAAGCACTCAAAGTCTCTGGGGAGATGTTTTAACGTATTCACTTTGCATGCTTGTCAAAACTGCATGGAAAGTGTGAAGGATGACTGCATGGCACTACTTAATCAAGTCTTTGCATGTTTATGTGTTTGTTTTTCAATTCACATGCGACTCTCAGTTCCCACGGTCTTGAATTGTTGTGGTTTTCTGAATTTGTTTTCTTCTTTTAGTTAGCTCTAAAATATTTTATTGGCTAAAAATAGGGGTCCGGATTTTAGCAGCTGATACCGACTACCAATTTCTTGTCATCGTGTTCGCCCGATACTGATCATTCAAGCTTTATAAAAGTGATATGTAAGCTCTCTGTTGACTGTCACTGTTAACCCCTTAAACCCTGTAGGCATATTTAATGATTTCACGTGATTTTAAGTGGCAAACTTAAAAGTAATTGCTTATTATGGCCTATGAAAAACAAGGTATCATCAAGTACCCGGTCTCATTTGATACGTTTTTGGTAAGAAAACGTTTATATGTTACAACACTGCTGGAAAACCCCCAGAAAAAGTGATGCGATTTATTAATTTATTTTATTATTCATGCTTGAATGATGACAATTAGAAAGTATATATGACAGGTCATAAATCAAGTTTGGTCTTGTTCACAATCATGTCAACTGCATCTGGGCTAACTTTTGAACAAAAGAACTACTTACATGTGTAAGCGCCACAAAGCATAAAAATATGTATACATAGAATAAGTAACAAGAAATAAGATCCTGGCTGGTGAGTGATGATCTTCCATAGCTGTTTCAGCTGTGCGCTCCTATTCTATGGCGCACAGTAAATCAATATCTGTCAATCTGAGCGATCCAGTCTATGCACGCTCCAGCTGTAAAACAGTGTCCATTTGATTTGGTCTCTACATATCGCCCCTACCCACCATACCCGTGATCTAGTTTCCATTGGTTGAACTTTCAAATTATGTTGGAAAACACTGTTACGATCGCCATGCGATCGGTTCCTGGAGGTCCTGTAGCTTTAGGAAGCTACAAATGTAGGGTCCATTTACACAATACCATTTTCAACTAAAAACATAAAACTTTTTATGTGTTTTAGCCGTTCATTTACATGGCAATGGCGTTTTTATTTTGAAAACGGGTTTCAAAGTGCAAGTTTTTTAAAACGATATTGTAATCGTCTCTGTGTTAACTACAAAAACACGAATTTATGAAAACGGTGACTTATTACATGTTCAGTCTATATGCACGTAGTGTTTCTTTACAAAGTGACATCGCCAACTACTGGCCTGGCATACATATTTCATAGTAATTAAATTTTCACAGATCCGTGTGAACAGGGATTGTTTTGACAATGGTGTCACCTGTATGCAAAAAATGTGAAGGAAAATTTTTTTTTTTCAGTTTTTAGTACATGGTTGTCGTGTAGCGTACCCTTAATGACTATCGTCTGAGTCATAGAATGTGATTATCGCCTGATACCGATCTGAGGCCGATCGATCGGAGCATCCCTAGCTTAAAATTTTGTCTTTGTCTGTCTGTTGAGTGAAATGAAATCGAGAATGGTTGGAAATGTCCTGTAAGTTCATTGGTCAGAAGGTGTGGGAATCATGACTCTTAACCAACCTGTGAAGCACTGAATACATCCAGTATCAACACAACAGTACACGTCTGTTTAGTACATTTCATTTTCCAATGAAATAAATAGGGATCTGCTTAATATCACTTTATTTTAGCAGTTGGAGGAATTATTGGTAATGAGAGGTATGATTTAAATTGTGACTTCTCCCTGTGCATTGTAATTGCACAGATAATCATAGTTTCATACAGTACATGTGGTCAGACTTGGTAAACCTAAAAGAATAAATCCATAAGAGATTGTCAAACAATTTGCCATAAAAACACCCCACATTCTTTCTTAACCTACATTTAAGTGGGGTATGTTAGAACTGTTATTTGTCAAGTTTAGGTAAATACAGAGAAACACCTCTGCAGATTGCTCTTCTCTAATGGATACTGTTCCTTATCCGAGTATGCAGTTAGTGGTCAAATTGTTAACCTATCCATACATCACCAATAAGCTGGATATATTACATTCCTCCATCATGCATGTTAAGGCAGTGAAGTCCCTTTTACTCTGATTTATTAATAAATAGCAATGCAAGTTAAGCAGAATAATTTTTGGTGCTGTTTGTAGGCATGTTGAAAATGCCATGAGCAGTTCTTGTAAGTTAATTTGGTTTTATTAAATAAAGATGTTCAAAAAGGACTCTGATGTACTTTGCCTGGAACTATGTGTTTTTCTTATTGAAAAATTAGCTCTTTTCATTGAATAAATGGCTGGGAAGCATACACTTTGATCTTGAGTTGTTTTTGACAGTGAATGCCGTTCATTTGACTTTCCCCCCTCATTCCAGAGTTTGTTCTTAAAGGTGAAAGACAGACAAATGTTCATGTCTCTGTGGCTGGAGGATAGAACCATCTGTATTCTAATAAGTATGTCTTTGTGCTGAGACGCAGTAAATGCAGCTTTCAGGTTACATTTTTGGCAGGAGTGACTTAACACAGAATTGCTAGTCCATATGTTCTGGCTGAATTTATGATTGCAATCCTCAGTGCCAAGTAAATCCTGAGAGCATTCAGTTGGTATTTGGGTGGTTTTGTGATAAACATCTAGAAACACGGTTACAGAATAAACTGTCATGTGAAGCAAATGAACATATATAAATACACAATGAGCAAATAGAGTCATGATGAATAGCTTCGGACCATTGTTTTATATGATTAAAAAACAGTTGAGTCTCTTGCTTGAATTTCAAGTGCTGTTCAAGTACAGTATTTTTAGTGTGCTGTAAGCTGTGTTTGCTGGGGCCAAATGGCCTTTATCTTAAAAGAGTGTTTAAAAAAGACTTTATCTTCCAGACAACTTGTTATATTGACAACTTTGAGTGGACATCATGTTTTAGGAGCCCATCCAAGTAATTCTGAAGTGGCACAGTGGAAGAAATTCTGTTTAGGGTCACAATGCTGTCACATTTTATTGTTGCCTATACATTTTATTGTATAGGCAACTGCAATATACTGAAATTGAAAATAACTTTATTTTAATATATTGTAAAATGTAATTTTTTTTCTGTGATGCAAAACTGAATTTTCAGCAGCCACATGCTAACGTTAAATGTTGATATGAAAAGTTTCTTATTATTATCAATGTTGAAAATGGATCAAATTTGGCTACAAAGCCTATTCTAATATGCCCTATACTATTTAATGGGAGGCTTTGTTGTGACAATGTACCCCGTATATTGTGACTATTGGGGCATGTTGTCACAAAAGTTAAAACATGTTTTCAATGAACTTCAATTATTATTTCCCCCCCCCCCCCCCCCCCTGGGAATTAATGATAGAAATGTTTTGATAACTAAGACTATGTGAGCTGTAATCAGTTTATTTATTGGTCTTCCCTATGTTGCAAACAGGCCTTGTTTGCGTGTGTATGTTTAAATAAGCTAGTCATCAACCTTAATTAAAGTCATCTTAAATAATGGAAACATCTAAATGAAATTAGATTAGGCCAGTGTTTTGAGACATTCTAGGCTACTTGGCAGATAAGATCAAACCACAATATTAATGTTTTTTATAATGCAAGCAGCATGTCAGAGGCTTTCTCAGCGGCTGTAAAGCTTCCTTGATGGCGTCCCTGTGGTGCTGCAGACTGCTTATGTTGTGTTCATAGATTTAGTTATGCTAATTATATGGTTCTCATGTTAGCTACATGTGAAGGATTTTACATTTATTTCATTGCAAACTAAAAAGTGAATTCCAGGTGTTCTGCTTGTATTGGAAAGCGTAATTGTCACGCAATAGGTTGTTAAGCGTGACAGTGTCTAGCCATTGTTAGCTTTTGTGAGGCTCTGGGGTCATGTGCAAAGGGCAAGCTAATGTGTAACAGACTGTCTAGTCTTCCTTTAACTACAATTGATTGTTTTTTTTGTTAATTATTTGTTATTTTAAGGATTTTGCTTTGCTTTTCTCATCAGAATTCCCTTGGGGCGCACCGGTTCTAGGGAACTACCCTTACGAAAAAGAAGTTTATTCAAGTGTGCTATTAGTATACTTCTTTTAAACTAAAAATAAGAAAGTAGACTTTTTATGTACTTCTCAGAAATATACTTCAAATTGCACTTAAAGGTGCTCTATGTATTTTTTAGCGGCCTCTAGCGGTGATGTTTCAGATTGCAACAAGAGGGCTCGTGCTCGTGTGCGTGTGCGATCTCAAGAGCGAGCATTCACTACCGGCCACACGGAGACTTTCAACGCAACGGCGAAAGCATCACACAACATGCTGGAAACTCATGTAAACGCCCACTGCAACGTTACAATAATAGACTACTTTTATCAGCTTGACGTTGATCTAATGCTCCATGCTTGTACCATGATAACGTTACATTGACTGCATTTAGCCGGCATGTGGTGTTAGCATAAGGCATTTCACTAACTATTCGTGTATCTTTCACAATCAGCAATGTCAACATAGGTGAATGTATAATATGATAACGAAAACGGTGAACTAGACTGAACAATGTCAGTGTAACAGTAAGACAGTAGGAAGTAAGATTACTGTACTGAACGTGTCTGGAAATGTTTATTATAAATAATATGATAGTAGTGGGATGAGTAACGTTAGACAGTAGATCTAGTACATAAAACAAGTATACATCCTAAAGCACCTACTTTTTGTTACCCTGGAACAGTCTTTTGTATTAATTTCATGTCTCATGTAGTTTACCTTGCTATTTCATTAGAGTTTACTAATAATTCAAAAGCTCTGCCGATGTTGATCCGTGTTTTCGTCCTGAGTCGATCA